TGGGAAAACAGGGTGTAGGAAAGGAAAAGGTGTGGACAGGTGTAGGGGAAAGGGAGGTGTAGGAGGACAGGTGTAGGGAAAAAAGGGGTAGGGAAGGCAGGTTTTGGGGGGACGGTTGTAGGAAGGAAAGGGTGGAGGACAAGGTGTAGGAAGAAAGGTGTAGGAGGACGGTGTAGGGGAAAAAGGTGAAGGGGAAGGTGTAGGAGGACGGTGTAGGAAGACAGGTGAAAGGAAAAATTTGATGTAGGAACAGGTGTAGGAAAAACGGTGTTGGGAAAACAGGTGAGGGGGACAGGGTAGGAGGAAGGTGTAGGGAAAACAGGTGTAAAGGGGGACAGGTGTAGGAAGGCAGGTGTAGGGAAAGGGGTAGGAAGCCCGGGACCGGAGGGGCAGGTTTTAGGAAAAAAGGTGTAGGGAAAAAAAAGGTGTAGGAGGACAGGTGTAGGAAAACGGTGTAGGAAGAAGGTGTAGGAGGAAAAGGTGTAGGAAGGGCAGGTGTAGGGGGCAGGTGTTTGGAGGCAGGTGTAGGGAAGGGCGGTGAAGGAGGACAGGTGTAGGAAGACGGTTAGGGGGGGACAGGTTTAGGCGACAGGTGTAGGAAGAAGGTACAGGGGGAAGGTTTGGGAAGGGCGGTGAAAGGGGCAGATGTAGGAAGAAAGGGGTAGGAAGGTTTTAGGGGAAAACAGGTGTAGGAAGACAGATTTTGGAGGGCGGTGTAGGAGGACGGTGTAGGGGAAAACGGTGGGAGGGGAAGGGCAGGTGTAGGAGGGACAGGTGTAGGAGACAGGGGAAGGGGACAGGTGTAGGAAAAAGGTGTAGGAGGAAAAGGGGGTAGGAAGCAGGGGTAGGGGAAAACAGGGTAGGGAAAACAGGTACAGGAGGACGGTGTTGGGGAAAACAGGTTTTAGGAAGGGAAAATTTGGAAGGGCAGGTGTTTGGACAAAGGGGTAGGAAAAAGGTGTAGGAAAGGGCGATGTAGGGAAAACAGGTGTAGGAAGACAGGTGTAAAGGGAAAACAAAGGGGTAGGACAGGGGTTGGAAGAAAGGTGTGGGAAAAAAGGTGTAGGGGGACAGGTGTAGGAAGACAGGTACTCCCTATTTTACTCACCCTTTTTTGGGGGCGGGGGCGAGTCTTAGCCCCTGGCCCCCCCTTTTTCCCCCGGTTGCTCTGGGCCCCCTCTTCCCCCCCCATGGCTTTATCAAAATTTTTCTTTTAAAACTGTGTATGGTTCCTGCCCCCAAATACGTCATTTTTAGGTATTCACTGTTTTTTCAATCTATGACTGAAGAATTTTCCTACTATCTTTTCTGACTAAATTTTTGGGCTTCAATTCCCAAATTTTGGCCCTTTTTTTTCTGTGTCCCTCCCTGGAACATCCCGTCTTTTTCCCCCTTGTCTATTCCACGCGTGTGTGGAAGGGGGGTAGGAGGGCAGGTGTTGGGACGGGAGGAGGAAGGTTTTAGGAAACAGGTGTGGAGGACGGGGTGGAAGACAGGTGAAGGAGTACCCGGTGTAGGGGGTAAGGTGTTGGAGGGGCTGGTTTTAGGAAGACGGGGGGGAGGAAGACAGGTGTAGAAGACAGGGGACAGGAGGGAAAAGGGGTAGGAAGACAGGTGTAGGGACAGGGGTGGAAGAAGGTGTGGCAGGTGAGGAGGGCAGGGGTAGGAAAAAGTGTAGGAAGACGGGTAGGAAGACAGGTTTTAGGGGAAAAACAGGTGTTGGGGACAGGTGTAGGAAGACAGGGGTAGGAGGACGGTGTAGGAAGGGCAGGTGTAGAAAGGGCAGGTGTAGGAAAGGGCAGGTGTAGGAAGAAGGTACTACCTATTTTTACTCACCTTTTTGTGGTTTCAGGGGTCGAGTCTTTTCTCCTGGGCCCCCCCCCCTTCACGGTTCTAATGGGCCCCCTCTCTCCCCGCTCCATGAAGGGGGGTTTTTCAAACCTTGTTTTTTAAAGCTGGTTGGGGTTCCCGCCTTTTTCCCTACGTCATTTTTTTAGGGCCCATTTTTTCTTTTTTACAACTCTAAAGAATGAAAAAAATTAAACCCCCCCTTCCCTTTCTATCTCTTGATCTTTGTGGGCTTCAAATTCCAATTGTGGCCCCCTTTTTTCTGTGTCCCCTCCCTGGAACATTGGGCTTTGGCCCCTTGTTTTATTTCCCCCGCAGTGTGTAGGAGGGTTTTTAGGAGGACAGGGTAGGAAAACTGTAGGAGGAAAGGTGTTTGGGAAAAAAGGTTTTAGGAGGCAGGTGAGGAAGAAGGTGAAGGAGTACAGGTTTTAGGGAAGGGAAGTGTTGGAGGACAGGTGTAGGAAGGGCAGGTGTTTGGAAGAAGGGTTTTAGGGAAAACGGGACAGGGGACAGGTGTAGGAAGACAGGGGTAGGAAGGGAAAGGGGTAGGAAAACGGTTAGGGGCGGTGTAGGAAAAACAGGTGTGGAAGACAGATGTAGGAAGGGCAGGTTTTAGGAAGAAAAGGGGTAGGGAAAACAAAAGGGGTGGAGGACAGGGGGTTTGGAAAACCCGGTGTAGGAAGGGGCAGGTTTTAGGAAGGGCAGGGGTAGGAAGAAGGTGTAGGAGGACAGGGTAGGAAGGGCAGGGTACTCACCTTTTTTCTCACCTATTTGTGGGGGGGAGGGGGGCGGTCTTAGCTCCTGGCCCCCCCTCTTCACCGGGGTTTTCCCAATGGGCCCCATTCTCCCCGGTCCCTGAGCTTTTTTCAAACCTTGTCTTAAAATGGGTATGGTTTCCCCCCTCCCCTTTCGTCATTTTTTTAGGCTATTACACTGTCTTTTAAAAATCTTATGACCTGAAAAAATACTTTCCCACTACTCTCTGACCCCATTTGTGTCTTTTCCTTCCTATTGGGGGGTCTTGTTTTTTGTGTCCCTCCCTGGAACATTGTCTTTGTCCCCTTGTCTATTCCACGGGAGTGTGTGGAGGTGAAAGGGGGAAGGGGTGGGGAAAATTTTAGGAGGCAGGTTTAGGGGAAAACCGGTGTAGGAGGACAGGTGTAGGAAAACAGGTGGAGGAGGAAAGGTGTAGGAAGAAAGGGGTAGGAAGTAGTGTAGGAAGACAGGTGTTGGAAGACAGGTGTAGGAGGGCAGGGGTTGGAAGACGGTGTAGGAAGAAAGGGTAGGAGGACGGTGTTTGGAAAACAGGTGTAGGAAGGGGGGGGTAGGGGAAAACAGGGGTGGAAGACAGGTGTAGGAAAACAGGTGTAGGAAGACAGGGTAGGCAGGTGTAGGGAAAAAGGTTTTGGGGGGAAAGTGTAGGAAGGGCAGGTGTAGGAAAAAGGTGAAAAAGGGGGTGGTGTAGGAAGACAGGTGTTGGGGGCAGGTGTAGGGAAAACAGGTGTTGGAAGGGGCGGTTTTTAGGAAGACAGGTGTAGGGGAAGGGCAGATGTAGGACCCGGTTTTAGGAAGCAGGTGTAGGAAGACCCGAGGGAGGGAAAACAGGTGGGAGGGGGGAAGGTGTAGGAGGACAGGTGTAGGAAGACAGGTGTAGGAAGACAGGTGTAGGAGGACAGGTGTAGGAGGACAGGTGCAGGAAGACAGGTGTAGGAGGACAGGTGTAGGAAGACAGGTGTAGGAAGACAGGTGTAGGAAGACAGGTGTAGGAGGACAGGTTTAAGAGGACAGGTGTAGGAAGACAGGTGTAGGATGACAGGTGTAGGAAGACAGGTGTAGGAGGACAGGTGTAGGAGGACAGGTGTAGGAAGACAGGTGTAGGAAGACAGGTGTAGGACAGGTGTAGGAGGACAGGTGTAGGAGGACAGGTGTAGGAGGACAGGTGTAGGAAGACAGGTGTAGGAAGACAGGTGTAGGAGGACAGGTGTAGGAAGACAGGTGTAGGAGGACAGGTGTAGGAAGACAGGTGTAGGAGGACAGGTGTAGGAAGACAGGTGTAGGAGGACAGGTGTAGGAAGACAGGTACAGGAGGACAGTTCGCAGTGTGAGATATTCGGAGGCTTAAATAGTAGTATTGTTCATAATTATTTACTCTTAAGTGTATTTTTTTTATCTTCATATTTCTGTCCTAACCATAAAAGTTTTGACAAGATTGTTTGTTGTGTGTGAAAGACCACTGAAACACAAGATTATTATTCTATCAATTAATATAAATATTTTGAAAGCTCTCCCACGACAATTTATGCACAACAATGTAGACAAAATTCTCTTAATAGAACGTAGAGAGATGATGTACGTAAGACAGAGAGCTGAGTAGATGTTATTATTATTATTATTATAATCAAGGGGGAAGCGCTAAACCCGGAGGATTATACAGCGCCTGGGGGGGGGGATGTGGAAGGCATTCAGGCTTAATTCGGGGAACTGGAGCACAGATCCAATTCCCTAAATCAAGAGCCCCTCACCAACATCAAGGAACCTTCCTTGAGGGGTGAGTAGATGTTAAACCTGCTTCCAGCGGCTACGATATATAATATGCAGCAGGAAACTGGAATAGGCTTAGTGAGACAAAGCATTTATTCGAATACATGCTTCTTATTCCATTCATGGTGCGATCGCTAAACCCGTAGGTGATACAGTGCCTGCGGGAGTGGAAGTCATTCATGCTTGAGTCATCTTTATGTCCTTACCGGCATCAAAGAACATCCCTTGAGGGTAAGAAATGCTTAGCTACCAAAATGTTGAAGCCTAGTTTCTGGACCTATTGTGTGCCTGTGTAACCATCTGACTAGTGCCCGGAGGATGGGTATATTATTATTAGTTAGATTATTATTATAAATAATAAATCTATCACACAACCTTAATTAAGGGAATGTACGGATATTTTTTTTTTTTTTATTATTCGCCGGTACTCTCCCGGCCCGGGTGTTAAGTAACGTAAAATATCCCTTCTTCATATCTATAATAACTAAGTGAAGTATTGTAACTTACTCAATTCTAGCTAAATATTACCATTAGGTACTACAACATGACTTCATCCAAAGAAATCACTATTTATTGTGAAACTAACGACAAACATTTGTGGTTCGTTTCAGGTGTTGTGGCCACAGTGAGGAAGAATAGTTGATAACTTAGATGTGTTAATGTAGAAGCTGTAACTGACGTCAAGCAAGCTTTCATGACCACCAGAAGGAAAGTGTGACTCCTGTAACAACCTGTTGATCACCAAACAAGACTCTGACCCCACGACCTTACCATTAAATTACTCTTGACCCTGCAGTAACCTCCCACCCATCACGAGACCAGAAAAAAGAATGTGAACCCAAGGAAAAGACATTATATAAAAAAAAATCCAATAAAGTAAACTATAAAATATATAAAAAGTTATGTTACGTCAGTAATAAAGGGACACGATGTTAGCAAGGTGTTGCTGCGACCCATACAAGAGGACTTACATCTCAGCCATCCTCACAGCCGTGAGTATCATTGTCTTGAATATCTTATCTTACTGTGGCGGTCGAGTTTAGATCAGGTCAGGTCACATTGTCAGGGGACAGTAAATCAGGGTCATCAAGCTATATCAAGCTTATCTTAGCTCACAAGCACGAAGAGATAGACGAAATAATATACCAAGATTCATTGAAATACCGAGATGCCTCTTACGTTTATTTCTCAACATTATTTCACATTTTATAATAGTAATAATATCTATTTCTACAGGTACATATACAAGGTATACAGACCACAGCTACATCATTGACATACTGCTATACAGACCACAGCTACATCATTGACATACTGCTATACAGACCACAGCTACATCATTGACATACTGCTATACAGACCACAGCTACATCATTGACATACTGCTATACAGACCACAGCTACATCATTGACATTACTGCTATACAGACCACAGCTACATCATTGACATACTGCTATACAGACCACAGCTACATCATTGACATACTGCTATACAGACCACAGCTACATCATTGACATACTGCTATACAGACCACAGCTACATCATTGACATACTGCTATACAGACCACAGCTACATCATTGACATACTGCCTATACAGACCACAGCTACATCATTGACATACTGCTATACAGACCACAGCTACATCATTGACATACTGCTATACAGACCACAGCTACATCATTGACATATGCTATACAGACCACAGCTACATCATTGACATACTGCTATACAGACCACAGCTACATCATTGACATATGCTATACAGACCACAGCTAACATCATTGACATACTGCTATACAGACCCAGCTACATCATTGACATACTGCTATATCAGACCACAGCTACATCATTGAATACTGCTATACAGACCACAGCTACATCATTGACATACTGCTATACAGACCACAGCTACATCATTGACATACTGCTATACAGACCACAGCTACATCATTGACATACTGCTATACAGACCACAGCTACATCATTGACATACTGCTATACAGACCACAGCTACATCATTGACATACTGCTATACAGACCACAGCTACATCATTGACATTACTGCTATACAGACCACAGCTACATCATTGACATACTGCTATACAGACCACAGCTACATCATTGACATACTGCTATACAGCCCACAGCTACATCATTGACATACTGCTATACAGACCACAGCTACATCATTGACATACTGCTATACAGACCACAGCTACATCATTGACATACTGCTATACAGACCACAGTACATCATTGACATACTGCTATACAGACCACAGCTACATCATTGACATACTGCTATACAGACCACAGCTTACATCATTGACATACTGCTATACAGACCACAGCTACATCATTGACATACTGCTATACAGACCACAGCTACATCATTGACATACTGCTATACAGACCACAGCTACATCATTGACATACTGCTATACAGACCACAGCTACATCATTGACATACTGCTATACAGACCACAGCTACATCATTGACATACTGCTATACAGACCACAGCTACATCATTGACATACTGCTATACAGACCACAGCTACATCATTGACATACTGCTATACAGTACCACAGCTACATCATTGACATATGCTATACAGACCACAGCTACATCATTGACATACTGCTATACAGACCACAGCTACATCATTGACATACTGCTATACAGACCACAGCTACATCATTGACATACTGCTATACAGACCACAGCTACATCATTGACATACTGCTATACAGACCACAGCTACATCATTGACATACTGCTATACAGACCACAGCTACATCATTGACATACTGCTATACAGACCACAGCTACATCATTGACATACTGCTATACAGACCACAGCTACATCATTGACATACTGCTATACAGACCACAGCTACATCATTGACATACTGCTATACAGACCACAGCTACATCATTGACATACTGCTATACAGACCACAGCTACATCATTGAATACTGCTATACAGACCACAGCTACATCATTGACATACTGCTATACAGACCACAGCTACATCATTGACATACTGCTATACAGACCACAGCTACATCATTGACATACTGCTATACAGACCACAGCTACATCATTGACATACTGCTATACAGACCACAGCTACATCATTGACATACTGCTATACAGACCACAGCTACATCATTGACATATGCTATACAGACCACAGCTACATCATTGACATACTGCTATACAGACCACAGCTACATCATTGACATACTGCTATACAGACCACAGCTACATCATTGACATACTGCTATACAGACCACAGCTACATCATTGACATACTGCTATACAGACCACAGCTACATCACTGACATACTGCTATACAGACCACAGCTACATCATTGACATACTGCTATACAGACCACAGCTACATCATTGACATACTGCTATACAGACCACAGCTACATCATTGACATACTGCTATACAGACCACAGCTACATCATTGACATACTGCTATACAGACCACAGGTACATCACTGACATACTGCTATACAGACCACAGCTACATCATTGACATACTGCTATACAGACCACAGGTACATCATTGACATACTGCTATACAGACCACAGCTACATCATTGACATACTGCTATATAAAAAGACCCTTGTTATGCTGAGCATTTCCCGCAGTTTAGGTCAATTTTGTCCCGGGATGCGACCCACACCAGTCCACTAACACCCAGGTACTCATTTTACTTAAGGATGAATATAGACAACCGGTGTAAAGGAACGCGCCCAATGTTTCTACCTTTGTCGGAAATCGAACCCGGACCCTCAGCGTGTGAAACGAGTGCTTTTGCCACCAGGCCAAGGGCCACCGTATGACACAAAGGAGGGAAGAATTGGCTTGGTAGAACAGAATTGCATAAAATCGCACATACGCAAGTAAATACCAAATCCCTTATAATGTTTCCGTGCAAGACAAATACACGTCCCGTGGCTCGGCATACATCCACCTACATTAATTTTTTTTTGAGGACAGATGCAAGTAGTTATAATTATAACCAAGATTTTTAAAGAGGTCGAGTGGTAAGGCAGTGGAAGGTCTCGGTCAGATAACCAAAAGCTTCAGCTCTGGATCATCATATGCGGCTAACAGTAACAGCCTGGATGATCAGGCATTGGTCCACTATGAGGCCTGATGACATACCGGGCTGCGGGGGCGTTGACCCCAGGAACCTTCTCCATGTATACTCCACATATAATGAAAAGTAGGGGTGCCATTGGTACATGAAGAGAAAATACAATAAGTGTCCGGGGCCCAAGACTGTTCAGCAGCCTCCCACCAGGCATAAGCGGAATCTTCTATAGACTTCTGACTGCCTTCAAGAGGGGGCTGGACAGATACTCAAAGTCTGTGCTGGATCAGCCTGGCTGTGGTTCGTATATTGGACTACATGCAGCCAGCAGTAACAGCCTGGGTGATCAAGCCCTGATCCACCGGTAGACCTAGTCTTGGACTGAGCCACAGGGGCGTTGATCCCCGGAATACCCTTACACCAACTCCGATCATTTCTGGAGTGGAATCACAGTCGATGGCCCGGTGGCCTGGTGGCTATAGCTCCCGCTTCACACACGGAGGGCCCGGGTTCGATTCCCGGCGGGTGGAAATATTTCGACACTTTCCTTACACCTGTTGTCCTGTTCACCTAGCAGCAAATAGGTACCTGGGTGTTAGTCGACTGGTGTGGGTCCAGCCTGGGGGACAAGATTAAGGACCCCAATGGAAATAAGTTAGACAGTCCTCGATGACGCACTGACTTACTTGGGTTATCCTGGGTGGCTAACCCTCCGGGGTTAAAAATCCGAACGAAATCTTATCTTATGGCCTCCACTCCAAAACAACAGATATTAGTGCCGGGTACAAAAAGACCCCATACCACCAATCCGACGACATTCTTCTCTGCATATATACAGGGTCTAAAGCCAGCAATGAACAACAAATACCTTTCATTCGTGGACTTCTTACAGAGTCGAATGCAATGTTCGTGGTTTTAACAGACCCACATAAAGGATCACTTTGACAATGAAATATGGATCCCGGGTTATAGCTTATACAGATGCAACAGAATGAACAGGCAAAGAGGGAAAGGAGAAGGTTGCCCTGTATATCACAGAGTCACTTGTATGCTCGGAACTACTAAATGCCTCAAATGTAGTTGAAGTTTTGGCAGTAAAGGTCGAGAGCTCCTGTGGGTGTATGACCCACTTAATATTTGTATTTATAACTCAGTACAATTGTGACCTGGTGTGGCCGTGTCAGTGGCTCATTACTTTGTAATTTGTTCATGATTGTAACCATGTATAGGAGTGAGGATGATTCATTATCTTCGTAACTTGTCATGATTGTGACCAGATCTACCTAGAGTTCATTACCTTTGTAACTAGTTCAGCTATCATAACTTTGGGGTCCAGTCCCTGGACCCATTATGTACCTCTGTAATCTTTTGACTACCGCCCACAGGATGGGTATGGGGTGCATAATAAAGATATTAAACTATTAAACTAAGGTCGAAAACCAAAACCTGGTCATTGTTGTGGTTGTATACAAGCCTCCAGATGCAACTTCCCAGCAATTCCAGAAACAGCTTGTGAAAACTGATCACTGTCCGGAAAATCTTGTAGCTCCTGCCCCCAACATCTTGCTCCTGGGGGATTTCAACCTGAGGCACCTAAAATGGAGGATGCAGTAAATAATGTTGTAGCAGAGATAACACCAGGAGGCAGCTCAGATGAAAACTCGCACACACACGAGCTTTTAAATCTCCACACCAAATTCGCCTTAAACCAGCAAATAATAGAGCCTACAAGACTGGAGAATACACTGGACCTCATCTAAACTAACAATGATGATCAGATACGAAATGTATCAAAAACAATATACTCAGATCACAACATAATAGAGGTCCAGACATGTATGCGGGGAGCCCCAGACCGACAAAATGTGATCAGTCACAAGGGAGCCTTCACCAAATTCAACTTCAGTAACAAAAACTTAAGGTGGGACCAAGTCATCTAGGTCCTAAATGATATAAACTGGGAAGATAGCCTAAGCAACACGGATCCAAACCTATGTCTAGAACAAATTAATTGTGTGGCACTTGAGGTATGCTCAAGGCATATTCCTTTAAGAAAAAGTAGAACATGTAAACTAGAAAGAGAAAGGCGCTCCCTATACAGGCGGAGGCAAAGAATAACAGAGCGGCTAAAAGAGGCCAATATATGTGTAATACGTAGGGAGTGACACGTCAGAGAAATAGCAAACATCGAACTAAAGCTAAAGGAATCTTACAGGAGTCAAGAAACGCGGAAAGAACTAAAAGCCATAAATGAAATTGAAAGAAACCCAAAATATTTCTTTTCGATGCCAAATCAAAGTCGAGAACAACATCCAGTATTGGGCCCCTACTTAGACGAGATGGGTCCTACACAGATGACAGCAAGGAAATGAGTGAGCTACTCAAGTCCCAGTATGACTCGGTTTTTAGCAAGCCACTAACCAGACTGAGAGTCGAAGATCTAAATGAATTTTTTTATGAGAGAGACAGAGTTTGGTAGACTCGAACCTATCTGATATTATCCTGATACCAAATTACTCCGAAAAGGCGATAAACGACATGCCCATGCAATCTGCCCCAGGGCCAGACTCACGGAACTCTGCGTTCATCAAGAACTGCAAGAAGCCCCTATCATGTGCTTTTAACATCCTGTGGAGAGGAAGCATGGGCACAGGGGTCGTCCCACAGCTGCTAAAAACAACAGACATAGTCCCACTCCACAAAGGGGGCAGTAAAGCAATAACAAAGAACTACAGACCGATAGCACTAACATCCCATATCATAAAAATCTTTGAAAGGGTTCTAAGAAGTAAGATCACCACCCATTTAGATACCCATCAGTTACACAACCCAGGGCAACTGAGTGGCTGGTGCCACAGCACTACCATACTCTGAAAACTTATACTATTTCTCCTTCTGTTGCCCTTGTAACATTACACAGCTCCTAATGACCTAATGACACACTGAGAAATGTGAAAGTACTTGAGCTAAAGATTTCCACCCCTTGTTGTTTGTCTTGCATTGTTAAGGTCACCTGTCTGCGATTGTTTTGCATATATATATATATATATATATATATATATATTATATATATATATATATATATATATATATATTATTATTATATTATATATATATATTATATATATATATTATATTATATATATTCGTGCTCATTTCCATTTTTAGAAAAAAAAAAAGATTTTTCGCCTAAAAAATCTCTGGACTATAGCATGTAAATAGGTTTGGTTTACATGTTGTAATATATTATTTACAAAACCATACCACGGGCGGGATTGAACCCGCGGTCAGAGAGCCTCAAAACTCCAGACCGTCGCGTTAGCCACTGGACCAGCTAGCCACAATAAAATTCGTCCAACTAGGTATATTTCTACACCATAGGAAGGTTACCATAGGCACCACTGTGACCACAAATGCAAGTTTTTACAGACGAATCTCCAGCTAGCGTGGCCGTGACGAACTCTAGCTCAAGTCCCCTCATTGCCGTTGTGGCATGCAAAGAGTACGTAACCTTTATTCGGCGCATGTACACACCCTCATTTACAGGCTATCTCCCCCAACCAGCGAACCAGGTGACTGAGGGTTGACGATGGGGCCCCGTCGTTCAACCAGTTCCCAGGTTCTAGCCAATAAGAAGATCCCGCCCGTGGTATGGTTTGTTTGCAATCGTGTCATTACGATTTCGTGAGTCATGTTGACCCCATTGAGGGGACTTGAGCTACAGTTCGTCACAGCCACGCTAGCTGGAGATTCGTCTGTAAAAACTTGCATTTGTGGTCACAGTGGTGCCTATGCTAACCTTCCTATGGTGCAGAAATATACCTAGTTGGACGAATCTTATTGTGGCTAGCTGGCCCAGTGGCTAACGCGACGGTCTGCAGTTTTGAGGCTCTCTGACCGCGGATTCAATCCCGCCCGTGGTATGGTTTGTTTGCAATCGTGTCATTACGATTTCGTGAGTCATTATTTACGAAGGCAGCCACTATCATGCCT